TTATCATTATTCAATTTTTCTCGGAAACAACAACCATTTTCTGTATAGTAATTACTGTAAAACAACGCATTTTTATTCACATTAACGACTTTTAGTTTATGCTCCTTGTGACGTCACATTTCGAAACCATGTTACACACAAATTACACTCTGAACTTGTCAACATCAGATGTCTTTTGCAAACAGGCGAAATTTGATTTTCCTCATATGATTGCCTACAAAGAAGGCGTGAATCAGATTATTACTTTTATGCTGCAGATTTCATCGCAAAACTATTTTTTCTTTCGTTCACAAGGAGAACTTGAGTAGTTGATCAGTATAATAAACGTACTATCGACCATAACAAAATGAGAAGTAAGTCCAACGTCACAGTTTACGGAAAAGAAAAGCAAAGGCAAAGGATACAGTTGCACTAATCTTTTAATCACCGGCCGTTAATGATTAACGCGCTCTAACTGCACACAGTCCAAACCCAAATTTAAGTTGTTTTGCCCGATTGACCTGGAGGTTGGGGTCACGAACGTCATGATACTTAGACGAATACGGACCTCACCGACCCCTGTCAGTTCAAGAAGGGGCAAGAAGTACGCCCTGAATCCGTAAACCGAAGAAACGAAACAGTGTGTGAGTCATTGCGAACCAAGTGCTCGCCTGCTCTTACACTGGATGCAAATAAAGAAGAATACTTTATCACAAAGGAATCATTGGTTAACCGGAAAAAGAAATCTGCCACAGTGGCAAATCTTTTGACTCTCTTTCCTAATCCCAACCCCTCCCTCCTCCTCCATGAACTTTGCTAGCAGGCTGCTGTTTACTCTGGGCAACTTCCTGACACGTAATGAACTTCTTCCCAGAAACTGCATTGTTGACACTTCTTGATATCTCAGTTTGGTAAAGTACTTTCGCTCTTAACAAGGAAGTCACTTCTTTTTGTCCTTCCTTATTAAGTTCTTGATAGTCCCATGACTGTTATTTACCACAGGTTGTACACAATGTATTGACAATATAAGCTTGAATTATACAGCCTCTCAACAAAAGTTTTAAGCCCGCTGACCTTGTGAACCACTCATATGTTTATTTTGAGCAAGCTAAAAAGTGGCCATTGAAAGATAAATGGCCTACAGTCTAGTTAAGGTCACCGAAAGTAATATATAGAGGTGATTAGTTTTTAATACATTTGAAGATCGTACCTGCTGTTCCCTGTATGCCGAGTTTTTTGATACATCCATCATGCACTGCCGCTCCGCCGTCAGCAAATTCTTGCTATTGTTATTGCTTCGTTTCCCTTCACAGACTGCAAAAAAAAAGAAAGAGTTTTATGTTAAAAAAAGGGGCTGGGATTCCGGGAAAACAGCATGACTGTTCATGTGATTGGTAGGTTTGCTTTTTCTAGCACGTTTCGTTATTTTTCTCGGAAATTAAGCCGAATCTATTTGAAGTCAAAAGATATGCATTTTTTAAAAAATGGACTTAATTTACAATCATATATTCCGACGACGTCATTTTTCGTTACCATAGCTACCTATCGTAATTCACTTAAAATTCATTTTAGAGGGAATTAAAGGTATGACGTGAGTAAGTGTAGAAAATTAGTGTTTTTAAATTTGCTTATGCAGCAGAATTCTGACTACCTGATTCAGTGCACGCTTTCGAAGCCCTGACTTTTAATTTTTCTTACAAAGAAATTCTTATGAAAAAAAACTTCGTTGTCTGATTATTGATTTTTGACTCTGGAGTCATGATTACAAATATTGGATACAATGCAGGTTTTCTTTAGTTTCATCTCTATCTCGCAATGGTCTCAGAAAGGATTAGTTTCCATGTGGTGAGAACATTGCTCAGTCAGCGCAATCAAGCTCCAACAAACTATTTGACTAAAGTCTGTAGAAAAATTAAACGATTGGAGAAGTGAGTTAAAATGAGGAACAGTCTAACATCGTAAATTGCAGCTTATATGTGGAAAAGCAACTCGTAGTCATACCTGGTACATTTTAAACTGTCAAAACAGTGTATCCTAAACTATGCTCAAAGAGTATCAAATATGCCGAGCATAACAAAAATCCAAAAAATGTTTCTTTTCCGTTTTTCGAGTTATAAATTCAAGAAGGAAGAAGAAAAAAATTACCTCACAAATGATAAAATCCATGTCGTCATCCACGACAAAACAAAAGACGCTCACAACTGAAAGTAGAACTTCAGAATTTCCAAACATCAGAGACAAATTGCAAAATGTTACACTAGTCAAGAGATTATACTTGATTTTGGTAAGTTATTCATAATAAACCTTTTAATCTCTAGTGTTAAACGGAAATCCATGTTTAAACAGGATATGGCGTAATACTAAAGGACGATCTATTCATTCTGATCCCATTATGTCATAAACACCCGTTTTAATGCCATTATTAGTAACATAACCTAAGTGTTTCAGCAAACACAGGCTTTCTCAGTTTAATCACGAGAGAGTTTTGCCGGCATGACAAGCAGACCGTTTAGAGGCTTTGACTTTAGATGGATTTAGAGTTGAACGTAACCTTTTGCGTGAGAATATGCAGCAAAGATTAGTAATTAAGCCTTCAACCTCAAAAATGTCGTCTTCGCCGCGTTTCGTTCAGTGCTAAATTATGTTTCGTTGGTTTGTTGACTTTTTTAGGACGGGTCGGTTCTCCCGGGTGGGACCTGAACAAAGACCGAAAAGACGGCCTGAACAGTCAACGTTCCCATACAAGGTCCTTGGCTTCCAATTTCACGATTCTCGCCACTACTTTAAAAACTCACGAAGTGTAACTTATCTCTCAGTTGTGTTTTGCAAAAGAACTTTTAAAAACTCGAGACTCAAGAAGTTAAAAAAGAAACCCCTTCTTACAGCTGTTCGTTTGTAGATTACAAAGAAGTTTAAAAACACTTGGCTTGAAAAGTAACCCACCCTACTGTCGAGGAAAAAGTAATGGAACTTGCAGGAATAACAGGAGGCGGGAATTTCCAATGTTCTAAAAAATTCCTAAGTGCTTATAGATTAACAATACACGAGGAAACAGTGTTACTTCCTGTATGAGGGTTGGTGACGTAACTCGTGCTTCTGACCAATCGGCGCAACAATTCCTTAAGCATGTTAGTGCTTTACATTAATCATGAGCTTCGTAGTTTTACAAGAGAGCTTCAGGTGATAATTTTGTATGTTAGGTTCTGTTGTTTAGGATTTTTAGGGAAGTTATCTACCGGCGGCTCACTTTATGACGTCAAAACCAGTCAGGACGCACTTGATTCCGAATACTGCCGTGACAATTTATGATCCACATGGATCAATTTACAATTATCATTATTTTTTAAATAATCATGTCGGATATTTGCTTTCTTCTGCTTTCTTGGCCTCAACTTATAAATGAAATGAAATGCAATGACATCCTCTTTGTTTGCCGACAACAGGACATGTTCATGGCGATAGCGACGACATTTGTTGCTGCACTAAATGGTAACTAAATGTCGCCTCTCTTTCGATTGTTCTTCATATCAGCTCTTCTAACTACAACTGGCTCATAATAGGGGTTTTATGGTTAAAGCATACCACAGCCAAGAGCCAGTTCGTTCAATTCACTATTGTAGAGCTGGTATGACGGAAATATTTTCTGCTCACACTTGTATTTCCCTTACTTACGTCGACACTAGGATCAACCTTCAGTTTTTCCAAGTGTAGTTGTAAATTTGACTCTTCAAGCTTCTTCATAATTCGGGGCTGGGAGTATGTACTAGATAGAGCCAAGAAAAGAATATTGATAAAAAATAATAAATACGCATGAAAAGACAGATATACCTTATCATGTGTTTAACTTGTTTAAGTTAAAAAATCTGCACGTGTTCACGGTCTAGATATTTCGGAAATCTCAACTTCAAAATATCTTCAAGTGCGCCGAGAACAGGCACGGTCAAGGTTACTAAATTTTCTCCTAGACAATTGAACAATATTCACCTGCCGATATTCTGTAGATACTACCACATACAACGGACTGTCACGTGGGGTCTCCCTCAGTTACTGATAATGCCGTTGAACTGGTAATGGGTTTTCAGCCTGGCTTTTACCTTTCCTGTTTCCTGATTATCTCAGAATTTCATGAATAGAAGAATGACCACTGCCTTTTTTTAAAGATTATTCCTGGAGACTATTCTTCTCTCCTGACTTTTCACTTGCATTTTCATATATACTTTGCTGACTCACGGTCAAGAAACCATTTAGTCGCCATGAAATTTGTCACCTGAACCGATTTAGCTAAGAGCGCAGAGGTTTCATTATAAGTATTTCTTTCGAATACCATTTTTTATCGTTTTTAGGCTTTATTTATAATCCCCTTGATATTACCACTGATAAAAATTACTTCCTTGTAAAGAAATTTTTTCCGCCCTTAGCAATAGATAACGCGTGTCGTGAAAAAAAGAAAGAAGAAAGAAAGAAAAAGAAAAGAGAGAAAAAATCTCTCAAATCTGGCAAGTTAACAATGGGGATCACTAAACAGTCCTGAATAGAAAATGTCTTCATTAATCTCGGAAGGTTCCATTGTTCTCGGTCCCACTGGGAGTTTGTTTACGAGTCGAGTTCTGAAGGGCTGAAAGGGTAACGACTAAACACTGATCTAATCAATCACTTTCGCGTTGATTGAAATTCAGAAAAAGGGTTTCGGCCGATTTGCACTTTAGAGGTGAATAACAACTTGAGGTGTAGTTACGAACCGAACACGTCGAATGTATGTTTGACGTCCCAAACAAATTTACGTCATCAAGTAAGGTATTGGTATCTAAAGTTCCGATTAGTAAAAATAAGAATACATTAAAGACTCTGTTTAAAAGGCACCAGCTTTTACTCATCCTATGTCATCTAATAATCATGTCATAATCAGGTCGTGAACCGTGGTGATAACCACAATTAATTATTTTTGCATAAACTATTCTTTTTATATGCGCCTGGGACTGCATGTTCCCAAGGGCATTTGAAATGTTTTTTTGTGTTGGTTGGGGGCGGGGGAAGGCAGGGGGTAGACAGAGTGTACTTCGGGGATCGGTAAATACAGTTATTGCTTTTATGTCATATGAGACTCTAGGGAAGGAACTTCAACGCCTGCCACATCATAAGAGACCTTCAAAAAATTTACTCAAATAATTTGAAGTTCAAGCAGAACCGTTGACAAATAAACAAAGTAACAATCATTTACTTCAAAACATTTCATATCAAAATGTATACATACTCATAAGTACATAACAAGAACAAACGAACGTGGTTAAATATTTTTGCATACAGTGGAACCCCGCCTTACGACCACCCCGCTTATAAGACCACCTCGTTATTATGGCCAAAAGTAAAAAACATTCACTCATTTTATTATTTTGAAGACCCCGTTAATGCGACCACCTCGTTATTACGACCAGGATTTTATGGCCCAACGGTGGTCGTATTAACGGGGTTCCACTGTAGTCATGAGTCATGCTTAACAGGAAAAGAACAAGTCACTGATAGCACACCCATAAAGGGCATCACATAGGGAATTCACGCACTTATCTTTGCCCTGGGTTAGGAGAAGGGGGAAGGTCTCCTAGTGGATTTTGATTTCTCTTCTAGCCATTCAATCTACCATCTTAAAAAATTTTGGAGAGCTGCACCGGGACCCACTTATGCAGAAGGTGACAAGTTAACAAAGGAGCTAGAGGCAAGCCATTTTGCACACCTCACTTATCCTTTCATCACTTATAATTAATGACTTAACAGGGAAAGGTGGACCTTGACGGCCATGAACAGTTCATCCAAATGTGTGATTGTTTTGATTGCCAGGGATTCTCCACAGGCTGAAGAGGTTTCCTTAGAGATGGGAATTTAATCAATTTTCACTTAAGATGTGAAAATCCCCTGGGAATGCCTATCCTCTCCTCCAGAGGAAATACATTGACAAGTGCATTTTAAACAGTTGATGCAATCTAAGCAGTTCAACAGTGACTTCCTTACAAGGCCTTAAAAGCATTTCATGTAATGAACAGTCACTGTTAATGGAAGAAGACCATGACATAATTTTTATCAGGCTACATGTAGCTATGCAGTGAGTGGCCTAAAGCCAACAGTATGTCCTTGTTGCCAGGCTCCAGGCTGCTGCATTGCCCCTGCATTAGCGCCTCTGTTTTGTTGAAATCTCATGTCCTCACTGTGACATGTAAGGCATAATGGGCGGTCCTCGTGATTGTCATAGTTGATGGTTGAACAGAATGTACAAAACACTCCAAAACATCTGTCACACTGGCGCACACACATCTCACAGGCATTGTGTTCACAGAATGCACATGGCATTTCTTCACCTTGTTGATGGCAGACCCAACAGAGAGAAGATACTGTTGCTGGTTTTAAGGATGGCTGGCTGACATCATCACCCTGATTTCTTTGACTGTTCATTAACACTTCAAATGCGTTATCTATGCAGTGCAGAATGGAAAGAGACATTTATTTTGTAAGGTTTCCCGAAAACCAACTTGTTCCAAATGATGATTCATCATCAGAAGACCTCCCACTGCGTCTAGAGGGATTAACAGGCAGGGCCGTAGCTAGTTTTTTTGTTACGGGGGTGGGGGGTGAGGCATTATCGCAAGTGCCAAAGGCACTAGCTTTGTAGGGGGGTCTGTGGGTATCCTCCCCCGGAAGATTTTCAAATTTGGAGGCTCTGAAACACTATTTTCAGCACTTGTCATGAAATATGTCTCCGAAAAATTGACCTTGAATATGAAAATGGCAAACATATTGCAAGTCACTATAATCAAAATAACTGACTCTAAAGAAAACAAATCCATTCACAGACTTAATGTGTCTGGCTCAACAGGTCCATTGGGGGGGCAGCTGCCCCCCTTGCCCCCCTGCTAGCAACGGCTCAGACAGGCATGATTCTAGAAGGCCTAACACAAACAGTGAATAGCGATTGGGAGAGTATGGAAACCTAAAATACTGTCTTAGATTGTCTTAAATAGGTTTGAGCCAAAGTAATACCCAAGCCTCAAGAAATGCTTCTCTACTTCCTGTTACATGTACATGAAGTAGCCTGCAAGCAAGCTTTTGGGGACGTAGGAAGAGGTCACCTCACCCATACCCCCAGAGTAAGCTAACAGACTAGTAATAGAGAGATATCGCCATGTTTTATCAATATCTTGATGAGAATGAGTCACATTTCCGCACTTGTCAGCTTAGACATGATGTAAGCTATACATGCCTGCATTCTGGAAAAAAATGGACTCAGTGTTCAGTGTTTGAGTTAAAAAAAACATACCACACTGCATGCAACTTTATGAAATGGAGTTGGGCGGAAATCTTACATTTTCAGTTGTTAAGAGGTATCAGCTGCGGGCACGACTTTATGATACCTACCGCTGTAACCAACATCCCCACCGTTGTCAGTGTGTGTATGTTCATTCACCGCCATCGTGGCTTCAGTGGCAGGCATTTTTGACTGATGAGGAGACTCTCCAAAGGGACATCGCCGCTTTGTTACAAGACGACTTAACTCTGGCGATGCTGGAGGTGTTCGACATTCCAGAATCGGATCCATTTTAGATCAGTTGTTAGTTTTCTAGCTTAAAACACATCTTCGACTCCTTGGAAAGAAGGACCAGCGCATGACCAGCGCGAAATTTTCATTTGAGTGAAGACTGGGGTGACTTTGTCCCAATCCTATCGCCGCTCTGACATCCAAGAGAGGCTTTGTTTTCGCGAAAAGTATCTGACAACATGACATGAAAGGAAAATGAAAAGTTAGTCAAGATAATTATGTCGGCTATAAATCACCGTTTGCTTCATTTACAGGTCGTCTTAAAGCTGAAATGATCCCTATGTATTTGGTGGACAGTCCATTTGTAGGATTGGCAATTGTTGTGTGGGTTATTTGAAGCAAAATACCGGTGTGGCAGGAAACACGAGGCGATCCACATACTCACTGCGAAAAGACGTGTTTCCGTGACACGAAGTTCGGGGGAATTATCTCGGTTATTTTCATTTGTTAGTTGCGAAGACTACAACGCAATTTCAAGATCACGCAGGTCTTTTCACCGGTTAACAGTAATTGTTAAGCCAGGAAAGTACATTGTATATATTAGGCGAAGTGGACTTCGAACTACTTTAAGCAAAATTCTCTTCCAGCTCAATTCTGTTGCTTCCTTGGTTTTTACAATTGAAGGAGATTATATCGTGTGAAAATGGTGGATGTCGATCCCGATACACTCTTAGAATGGCTGAGTATGGGTCAAGGAGACGAAAGAGATATGCAACTTATCGCTTTGGAACAGTTATGTATGTTACTGCTTATGTCAGACAATATAGACCGGTGTTTTGAAAGGTAAGAAAAATTCGCTAATCTCTTTCTTCACTTTTCCACTCTATACAATGTTTCTATTTAGTTATTAGCTTATTCAATGTCAACATACCCTTAATTTGCTGGTAACGTCACTTTAAAATGGAGAAAATTATTGTGGTAAATTTAATGTTAAAATTCCTTGGACCAGTATACATGTAGGTGCAGTTATGCCTACATCGATATCATCTTTGACATGTTTAATGCTCTGGTTCCTCGAAAAATTTTGAATGAATTAACTGCGTGTCAAAGCAATCTCCAACTGCAAATGCATAATACAAATTTCTTTCAAAAGGCGAGATTTCATTAAAAGCATTAGGCATAAAATATTTCTTGGGAATTCATAAATAAATGCACAGTCTCAAGCTATATTTGGTCTCATTTTGATGATCTAAAGCCTCGACGTCTGACGTTATACTTTGCCTTAAATGGATATCTTCTCCTACCTTTATGCATTGTAATCAATAAAAGATTATTATTTCCCTTTTTGAAAATTTCTGTAGTTGTACTGCATGTAATTTTGAACCGAAGCTTACATGTTATGTTGACGTTTTTTAGTATTAACCAAATAGGTGCATAATAACCCCACTTGATTTGTATATATTTATGAATTTAGGTTTGTGGTGTCAGTTCCCTGCCCACTAATTGCAACTACCCAGTAACGTGAAATCTAAGTGATTGCCCTGAAAGGGTAATATATGGAACATTACCTTAGAACAAATGAACTGGATTGAAAACTCGTACTTGTACTCTCCCTAATTCCTAGAGTACCTCTACAGACTGTACAGGAGTCTATGGGTACAATAAAAAAATTTATTTTTTTGTACGTACTGGTAAGGTGATGTTTTTCATGTCTGTCGTTAAGTTCTTTGCTGGTCAGTAAGATTGTATTCTACCTGGGATCATTTTGAACATTCTAGAGCTATAATACAGTGTTTTTCCTCTTAAGTGTATCCTATATTGTGAGTATTCAAGTGATACCTTCTATTGTATTCAGCAGTTTATTAATATTTATTTTTGTAGCTTGTTGTAAAATAAAATTTGGGATATTTGTTCATTATACTGTAGTTGTCCACCTCGGACGTTCCTGCCAGCCTTATGCCGTATCTTCTTGGACGAGTGTGCTCCCGAAAATGTGCTTGAAGTAACAGCAAGGGCTATTACTTATTACCTTGATGTATCAGCAGAGTGTACGAGAAGGATTGTTGCTGTGGAGGGAGCTATCAAGGCCCTTTGTAATAGGCTAGTTGTTGTGGATTTATCATCAAGGACAAGTAAAGACTTAGGTGAACAGTGTGTTAAGGTTAGTGGGCAAAAATCTAGCTAGACACTTTGCTTCTTTCTTTTGCTGTTGACAGGTTGAATAGCTTTAGAGGACCTTCACATGTACTAGGTGGTTACAATATACTGTAGAACAATGTAAATCTTTACAAAATGTAGAACCACACCTAACACTTTGACTGGAACAAAACATTTTAGGTTCTAGAACTGATCTGTACTCGTGAGGCTGGGGCTGTGTTTGAAGCTGGTGGTCTGCAGTGCTCATTAACCTTCATCCGTGAGTTTGGTAGTTCTGTACACAAGGATACCCTTCATTCGGCAATGAATGTTGTGTCAAGATTGTGTGGAAGAATGGAACCACAGGATACCAACTTGGAGACTTGTGTCAAATCACTTTCTACCTTACTAAAACATGAAGATCTGTATGTGAGTGTTTAGCTTTAACAATCATTACGGAGAAATTATCTCTTAGTATGAAAGTTTCAATTTTGTTATATTTTTTTTCCATCTTTTAGTTAATTCTATTGAAACTATATAGTTTTTTGGGTAACGTATGTAGGCAAGGGTAGTGTTTAAGATTGACGTGTAAGGGGTAACATTAACACAAGAAGAACACCAATAAGAGCCAATACATGTAGGTAAAAGGGAAGTTTCTCATTTGAAGGCAAAATAAGTTCTCAGGTTAACCAAGTTCTTAACCTACATGTAGTTTGATTGTCGGAATGTCTTCTATTACCTAGCTGTAATTATCTATGGGGTACAAAGAAATTCCGGTTGAATCTGCGAACAGATTTCACCTGCAACATCTCATAAAAACAGTTGTAAAAGTCTTCCCTGAAGGCTAACAGTGTGCTGTATTATAATTCTGTTTCTTGCAGGTATCTGATGGTGCTCTACGGTGTTTTGCTTCTCTTGCTGATCGTTTTACTCGCCGTGGTGTTGATCCTGCTCCCTTAGCTGAACATGGGCTCAGTAGGGAGTTATTAGAGAGGTTAGCAAGTGCTGCAGCATCTGCAGGAGAGAAAACTGGTAGCAGTGGGGCAACACCTGACTCCAAAAGCAACAGTACATCAGTGTCTACTATTGTTAGTCTGTTGTCAACTCTGTGCCGTGGATCACCAAGTGTTACCCACGTATGTTTTGTCCAGATGAATTGTTTTTATTTTTTGCCATATTTTTGGACATGGATTATTAAGTGGGAAACCATGGACGCTACTGGAAAAACTTGAACAACCATTAACTTAAAAAACTTTTGCTGTCCCAGTACAAGATTTGGTGGGGTTTAATTTAAAGAGACTTGTATATTTTTCTTAGGCATTCTACTGCTCAATGAATCAACCTTTTACTTACATGTACAGTGTTCATTTACATTTAAGTGGCACAGCAGACACAGCATGAATTTATTTAGAAAAACTGCAGGCTGTCAGGTTAATTATCACAGGAAAGTACCACTCACTACTCATACTTTATTGTATAACCCACAGAGACTAACATTACTCTACACAGAAACACATTTATCAGTAGTACTCAGTCCTCCACCAACACATCTTATATTAATAGTAATAGCAAATAAGTAAGACCTCACTGAACCCTAACCTATATTGTAAGGTATATTAAAAGTTTCAAAATAGTTTATCGTGTAAATCTGTGCTATTCTGTTACAGGACTTGTTAAGAGCCGGATTACCTGAGGCAATTGAAAAAGCTCTTCAAGGAGATGAGAGATGTGTTTTAGATACCATGAGACTAGTTGATTTACTCCTGGTGCTTCTGTTTGAGGGACGACAAGCTTTGCCAAAGTCATGTGTCAGCATTTCTAAGGGAGGAATTGCTGGTCTTCGGAGATTTGACAGTTCAAATGAGAGATCCCACAGACAGCTTATTGACTGTATTAGAAGCAAGGATACTGATGCTGTTATAGATGCAATTGAAAATGGTGAGATGCACTTTTCATTACATACTCAGTAGAGTACAGGGTACAGTACTGCTAAATAACTGTGGTAGTTTCTTGGTGTTGTGGAAAATTTGCAATAACCAATAATATTGATGTAATACAAGAAATTTAAAGGGCACTGAATGATACCCAGACCACAGCACAAAAGGTGACCAACAATGGTTTCAGCAATACTAAGAAACATCCAAAATTCTTATTGACCACCCTCTCATAAGACACATTTCTTATTACATACTGCACTTGCTTTAATCCCTGCTTCATATGAATTTCATTGTAAACTACTATTTTAACGTGCATAAAATTTCAGATTTTGTTATGAACACCTTAGTGTAATTCCCTTTGTGCCCAATTTTTTTTCCGAAGACTTAAAGATTTACTGTACACTCTTCAGTCAAGTTAAAGATTCATTTATGTCAAAATTCCTAGAAGTGTATTTCTTTAAATGCTATAAATATTTTAGGTGGATTTGAGGTAAACTTTATGGATGATGTTGGGCAGACATTACTCAATTGGGCATCAGCATTTGGAACGTTAGAAATGGTAAGTTATTTTTTAAGGAAAAAAGACTGAATTGGGTTAAAATAAATTGATAAAGCCACATTGTGATTGACAGGACAAGCCCATTGGAGTGGCTTTAATAATTATTAGACTATTAATGATGATTACAGTGTTTCTCACTGTTTTGTTTGGCCATTACTGAGATTGTTTTGTGAAATATCATCAGGTGGAATACCTTTGTGAAAGGGGAGCAGATGTTAATAGAGGGCAAAGGTCATCATCTCTTCACTATGCTGCTTGCTTTGGTAGACCAGCTGTTGCTAAAGTGAGTGGAATTGTGTATCTGTGCACAATGTGCCATACGTGTGCTGGCAATGTTAGCCCTTTAATCCCCAATATCCACGCACAAATTCTCCAAACTGATCTCCGTACATTTCCTTTAAGAATTAGTTAAGAGAATTTGATAAAAGATCAAAGTATTTTCTCTTAGGTGATCATTTTATTAATTCTCATAACCTCACCTCATGACAATGTGTGAATATCGTTAGGAGAAAATTGCTGTTGGTCATTATTGGGACTTAAAGGGTTAAGAGATAGCACATTTGTGTTTATGTAATACATGTATTTATTGTACTGGATTTGTTTAAGGCAACACAGCAAAATAATCCTGGCTAATTGTAGCACATTTCTTGGAACTTTCATTGAAATATGGGTTAATGAAATGTTTTTGTGTTCTTCATTTAGTAACAGTGAGGGCAAAAGGCAGTATATACCTAGCTAAAACATACTTTTATTGGCATTTTTCAGACTTTACTTCGCCATGGTGCTAATCCAGATTTAAGGGATGAGGATGGTAAAACTCCAATGGATAAAGCTAGAGAACGTAATGATGAAGGTCATAGAGAAGTAGTGCATATTCTTCAATCACCAGGTATAAAGTACTGCCTGCTTCTCAAGCTATTTACCTAAAAAACAATACAGGAACCCTATGTGAACAACATGCTAACATATCTGCTGTCTGACCATTCAGTGTCTATATACAATCTGTATGTGTAAGTTGGCATTTCTGTATAATGTACAGTAAGTATTCAAGTCTCCCTGTATAATGTAATAATGTTGCCAATGTTGTATAATGAAATTACATGCAAATGAACTGTGAAGTTAATCAGGGTTGATTTTTGTTTTCACTGAAGGTGAATGGATGGTTCCTGTTGGAAATAGCTCTGCCTCATCCTCAACACCAGCACAACCAACCACTGCCCAAGATAATGCCAACACTGACGAGAAAACAGAAGAGCCGGAGGACGTGAAGGGAGACCCTGAAATGGCTCCTGTTTATCTTAAAAGTCTCCTGCCACTGTTTGCGAAGAACTACAAAGACACAATGATGCCAAGCATCAGAAAGGCAACTTTAGCACTGATGCGCAAGATGATTCATTACGCATCTCAAGCACAGTTGGAGGAGCTGTCGCAGAATTTAAATTTTGCATCAGTTATTATTGAAGTTTTATCGGTTGTCCTGGATCATGAGGTGGGCATTAGTACAGTAGCTCATTTGTAGCTCTCATTACCAGAAGTATCGATAATGATAATAACAAAGGAATGTAAAGGGCTGCAAACAAATACAGTTGTACTTTAGGAGGGTTTTGCAGGGATAAACACAACATAGGGTTAGGGTTAGGGTTAACCATTGAGAGATTTGGAATTGCGCTTACAGCAAACAGCAATTTGTACCACTTGACTACGTTTTTTTCTTTACTTGTCCTTTACTGTTAATTACTTCTACACAAATACTTGTAGTTTCATGCCAGTTTTATCAATAAGAATTGCTTTAAAAGACTGTTTTAATCTGCTCATTTTCTATTAATTTTTGATAAGTTCTAAACTTGAATCTGCAGATTTCCGTTTGCTGTAAATGTGAGTCGTAATCTCTATAATGTTTAGTGTAAAAACTGCTCTCAGACATGAAACACTCTATGGCCTGACACCTGCTGATATTACAGCTATTTGAGCCAAAAACAACACGAGTGTTTTTATCACATTGCAATAATTAGTAATTAATTATTTTGTTTTATGTCTAGGATGATGATGATGGTCATTTAACTAGTCTTCAGATTATAGAGGATTTGTTGGAGAAATGTCAAGAGACATACATTGGACACTTGGCTCGTTTAGGTGTCATTAGCCACATTGCAGAGCTTGCTGGGCCACTCCAGGAAGTTGAAACAGTACCAGAAGAACCTGAAGTGAAGACTAAGGAGGAGGAAACAGAGAAAAAGGTATAGATGCAAGAGGCATTACATTGCATACATGCAGTGTACAGTACATCTGTGTTAAGAGTTATGGCAGAGCACCAACCCAAGAATGAAACAATCTTTCAAGCAGTACATTACGTTATTTTGTTCTGAAGCATGTATCCTGTATAAGTACATGATACAATGAGGAATGAGCACATGTACAGTATTAAAGCGCAAGTTATTTGTATGCATGTTGAGGTGCTAGAAATCAAACAAATGAACACAGTGAATAAGTGAGATTTCTTATACAAAACATGTTCGACTGTCTTAAGATTGCACAAAGCACTTTTCTTGTAGTGTAGTGACATTCAAAGCAACCTTTTGCCTTATTTTTTAACTTTTTCTTCCCAAAATACTTGGATTAACCTGGAATGCTTCAATTTACAGCTATTTGTTATGAAATGATGAGAAGAATGGCATGATATACTTCTTTATTCAATATGGCATAGAAGTTATTAAAAAAAGAAAAGAAAAAAATGTCATTGGCAGTAAAATCTTGTAGTGTATCCATTCAAATAAAAGATGTGGAGTAGTATTTTTTTGTTCTGCTATTTTTGTGTTAATTTTTATACTTTTTCTTACAGTTATAGTTTCTTTGTAACTTTGAATATTTAACCTACGTGTAGGATGAAGATACAGTTCAAGAGGACGCATCTGATGTAGAACAAGGCAAACCCTACCACTGGCATGACTGGTGCATTGTGCGCAGCCGTGACTGTCTTTATTTGTGGAATGAGTCCTGTGCTTTGGAGCTTTCTAATGGCAGTAATGGCTGGTTTAGGTTTATTCTGGACGGCAAGCTGGCCACCATGTACTCCAGCGGCAGTCCTGAAGGCGGATCAGACTCTTCAGGTAGGTATTCCATATTTTTTCATCTTAGGGAAACAAAAAATATTGATCACACAATGTTTTTTGTTTTCATGTCGAACTTAACTTTGTTGATACTGTACTTTGTTTTACAGATGTTAACAAGTTGAAAGTCTTCTTTACAAACGCCTCCATGATACTAACTCTTGCAGTCGACACTTGCAGTTTCTTTGGTCCAAAGAAATTATACCTGGCAACCTTACTCACAAACACCTACACCTGCATGAGGCAAATGCTTAACTCTGTCCATCTGGTGTCTTTTACATATAGAGCCTGCATTACAGTTTACTGTCCTAAGGGCTAGGGACTAGGGATTACTACTGATTATGCAAAAATAAATGGCAGAAAAAAAATGAAAAAGTTGATGTGTATGACTTTGCTGTGCATGGTTGCGCTCAGGAACAAAATGGTAGCCCCTGCTTACCTTCCATCATTCATTAATGCAAACAGGGCTTGTACAGAGTCTTGAATTCTTGAAAACCTGGCGTTGAGCTGAAGACTTGAAAAAATGGTAAAAAGTCTTAAGTTATTTTGAAAGCTACAACAAGTGCTTCACAAGTGAAATTTTTTTCGTTTTGGTCAAATCTTATTCAATCTTGCATGGATGTCAGGGAAAAAGCTTTATTCCTGTGTTTTTTAAGGTGTCTATAGATCACCTGTTTGATAACCTTGAGTCTGGAAAAGTAAATTATTGCTTTGGAAAAGGTCTGGAAAAAGTCTTGAATTTTGGATGAAAAATCTGTACGAACTCTGTGCAAATGGCCATCTCTGTCAAGAAAGATTGTTAAGATCCAGAAATCCTGCTACCATGAAAACCTGACGTCACACTTGTCCTCTCTGTCACATCTTTTCTGTGTGACTGAATACTAACTTTTGTTTCTTTCTAATTCCAGAGAGCAGAGGAGAATTTCTTGAAAAACTCCAGCGTGCACGAGGACAGGTGAAACTTGGAACCCCAAGTCAACCATTTCTGTCATCACCTGGCTCCACTCGACTCTCTGTCGGCAACTGGTCTCTCACATGTACCAAAGATAAAGAAGTATCAATTCATAATGCTGATGGACAGCAAGCTACAATACTCCGTGAAGACTTAGCTGGGTTTGTTTTTGAATCCAACAGAGGAACAAAGCACACATTCAATGCTGAGACCTCACTGGGGCCTGAGTTTGCTGCTGGTTGGATGGGAAAGAGAGGAAAAAGATTTGTGTCAAAAGTGGAAGCTCAGAAGTTGAAGATTAGAAACTTGGCTGCTGAGATTCAGGAGAAGTATCTTCTGACTGCCCAAGCAACACCTCGTAAAGTTGTTGCAACATTACAGGAGATAGTCACTCAACTCCATTCTGCTTGTTTATCCCAAGAAAACCTTACTAAGGTAGGAACTCTACCAACAGGGAATCACAACAGAATTAACGTACAGCTAGAGTGGCTACATGCTCCAGAAAAATGTATCATGGTGGGGTTTGTTACTTTTCCATTTGAATACTAGGGAAAAGTTAGTTACTTGTAGTTTTTGTAGCTAAGTGAGTTCACATAACAAAAATTTTCTTTTTTTTCAAAGTTACTGGGAAATTGTGAGAAGTACAAGAGCCATTTGTCAATTAAATACTCCATAAACCATACTAAACACAAGGTTCTGTTGCAGGGAGCAGACAGTAAAGAATCATGGAGGGAAGAAATGCTTAGTGCTTTGAAAGGTTTACTTCAAGTGCTACAAGATGATGCCACAGTCTCTTCTTATGAGCTGCAGTCTACTGGTCTTGTCACAGCCCTTTTGCGATGTCTATATCAGGTAACACTGATGCAGAGAACTCTTTCTTATTTAGTTGGACATCCCTGGAGTAAATGGAGCTCCTTGCCTCTGAAAGGTGTCTCACAGCAAGTCAAATAAGGGACAAGATTAATGAAAGTTTGCGACTTATAAGACACCTACCAATTATATTCTCTGTTATGATTGAGAAAGTTGTCTGGAACCTTAATGCCAATTGAAATAACAGAAGTTAAACTCCTTTACCTTTCCAAAGTGAATGGAGCATGTACTGAGTATGGAGTATGTACTGTACATGAGTATGTACTGCCTGCACATAGGTGTAAATAGAGTACCTGGGTGTTATTTACAGAAATTTATTTACTGCCTTTTTCAGACTGGTAAGGTAGTATCTTCTGAGAATGACAATGCCAGCAATCGTGCTGCAGAATGCATTGCTGAACGAATTGAGGTGTTCAAGTCAGCTTTTGGGGAAACAGAGGAGCAACTAAACCAGGAAAAGTATGTATTCACCAAGATTGACAATAGTTACTACTAGCAATGCGTTAGGATTTAAACTTTGAAGTGTCCAAATCTCTAACAGGGCTGTCATCAAGAGGCGGGGTCTGGGGATTTCTCCCTGCTTCTATGAATGTGGCCCCCAACTACTTTCATAGGAAAATAGAAGTAAATAGAACCAAAAGAAATCCATAGCTGTTTTTTTCCCCACCTACTTGTTGTATTTACCTTAGTGACATCCCTGCTCTATGTTTTCTATCTTTTCTTTTTTCTGTCTTTTCCTTGTCAAAGGAGGCGATGTAAGTTTGACTGTTCATAATGACACTGCTATGAAGGATGTAGAACATGGGACATCTAGCTTACAAGTTTCACTCTTCGGGATATTTTCAAGATCTGATTGTAGTTCTTTCTTTCTTTCTCTTCTTTCAGAAGTGGGGAAGTTACACCAGCCACAATCCTTGTAAAGAAGCTTGTAGCTGTTTTAGAATCAACAGAAAAATTACATCTCCTGACTTATGAGTGCCCTGGTTCTGGTCTGCAGGTTTGTTTGCACTTACATGTATTCAGAGGTCCTGAAATAATCCTCAAGCATTACTATTCAGCTTTTATTGTATTTAGCTATTGTTTTAGCTTACTTTGGCCCCAAATGTAATATTCATGGTTACACCATCTCTTTAAGCTGGCAACCTCTTTAAGCTGGCAAGTTCTTAATTAATCATCATTGATTTGCTTTCTTATGGTTTCTTAGGTGCTGGCCAGGCGACTGAGATTCCAGTTGGAGCGAGCTTCAGGCGAGAGTTCATTAATTGACAGAACTGGAAGAACTTTGAAAATGGAGCCCCTGACCACTGTGGGGGACCTAGAAAGATATCTTCTGAAAATGGTTGGTTTGATATTATTTTAAAATTTTGCAAGTTGCCCAATGAAAAAGGATTATTGGTAAATTTTTCATGGGTAACTAATAACTGAGTTGCTTCCTGCCCGTAAAATGAAACAAAATCTTGCCCTTTTAGCAAGCTGACATGTCTGTTTTCTGGTGATAATCAAGAAGTTCAAAAGCTTCCAACCCATGAAATTCAAGATGGCCAGCAGTCAAGTTTTTTGCACATGGGATGCTAGAGTACAGCTCTAGGTCTTCCTATTAATTTTCATTGTAACATTAGCATCTCAAACACAAAACTGTTTTTCCTCAGGTGGCTAAGCAATGGTATGACTTCGAGAGAAGTAGTTACAACTTTGTGCGTAACCTCCGAGGTAACAACAAGATCACCTTCACCCACATGCATGACTTTGACGAGAATGGGATTATTTACTGGCTTGGTACAAATGGCAAGTCCATTGCAGACTGGATCAACCCAGGTTCTGTTGGAATTGTGTCTGTAAGCACTTCAGAGGGTCGCGGTTTACCATATGGAAAAGTAGAAGATATTCTGAGTAGAGACACTGCGGCACTCAACTGCCATACTAATGATGACAAGTAGGTGTATACTACATTTTCGTTTGATTTTCATTTTATTGGTAAATTCAGTGGGCAGTGTCTATACAAAACAAAATACGCACTCCAAATTGTATTCAATTGACAAGTCGATAAAAGTAAATTGTACAAATGGTAAAGAGCAGAAGAAAAGTTACGTTAAAAACAATGCTGAAGTTACATGTAACTGGGGTACAGAATATAAATCAGAAACTTACAAGTACACTACATTCTACATGTACATAAAACTAGAAAAAGTCACAAATTTTGATTCTGGGAATACTGTAAGACTAAAAGCATTATGTGAACGTACAACTAAAGAGCACACCAATAATTATGTTGTTCAGAGACTCAAGAGTTAAAACTAAAAGTACATTCTTTGTCTGCATACAGCTGTTATTGTCTCTGAAACTGTGTGCCTTTTTTGTCAAAGACTAAAATGGCCAAAATCAAAACTGAAGAAAATTCTCAATTAAATTTTTTTACTTAAAACATTCTAAAACGAATTGAGAAAATGCTGCCTAAAAGGTCCATCAGTACACACGTGATTTACTGACGAGTACTGTTTTCTTTTCAGAAATGCTTGGTTTGCCATTGATCTTGGTGTGTGGTTCATTCCTAGTTGTTACACCCTGAGACATGCTCGTGGATATGGAAGGTGGGCTCTACATCTCCAAACTCTAAACTTGAACAAATTCTAATTAAAAATTCCCCAAGTTACATTCTCAACAGAAGTGGAACCTCTGATCGTTTAGTTGCTAGTTCAGATGCTCTACCACTGAACTACAGGAGACTGACTGGTCGGAACAGAGGTCATTTAACTAAGAAGTCACTCTGCCTACTCTTATGACTGGAATATCTATAGGTGGCGCTTTTTCCGGGAATGATGAATTTCAGTCTTAGTGAATATATTATAAATGTTTTATTTCAGTCAAGTTTCTCACACTGTACTGTGAGGCTTCAACTACAGACTCTGAGACACTGATACATCTGCACTGCGCAGTTTGAAGTCTACTTTTTGCTGTAGTGTCAACTTCTTCTTTATCTATTCTTAGGTCTGCTCTTCGTAACTGGCTTTTCCAAGTTAGCAAAGATGGTAAGAACTGGACAACCCTGTATACCCACACGGATGACAACTCTCTCAATGAACCTGGGTATGTATATGAAAATCTCTGTCTCCTCTTTTCCTCAGACTTAAAAAAGTGCGAAGGATACACGCTTATGCGCTGAAAAAGTGCCTCTCATGTGACGGTGCGACGTGTGGGAAAAGATAATTTGCGCGTCATCTCACGTCTTCTCACTTGCTTATTAGGAAACTCAATTGATTACTGGTTTAGTAAAGAGATACAAGAATGAATGCTTTCTTTATGGAGTATATAGATATGTATATGTTTTTAACCGCAGCAGGATTAGCTCAATTGGTAGAGCGCTTGACTGCAGAGCGACAGGTCGCGGGTTCGATTCCCAGGGCCGGACCAACACTCAGGGTCTTAAAATGACTGAGAAATGAAGGTACTGCCTTTGTCCTGCAAACGGCTAGACCTTCGCGTGGCTCGGTCCCGCCTCCAGGAAGAGACGTAAAAGATAGCATCCCCAATTAGTACTTTCGTGCTAAATACGTTGACACTGAAATAAAGTTCTTTTTTATTATCAATAGGTCAACAGCATCGTGGCCGTTAGAGCCCCCATCAGATCCAGAAGGCTGGCGGTACGTGCGCCTTCAGCAAGCAGGCAAGAATGCCAGTGGACAGACTCATTACCTGTCTCTATCAGGATTTGAACTGTATGGAACAGTTCTAGCAGCTGTGGAAGAACCTTTAGGTTAGTTTTTGTTTACTGCGTTTAACTTTACATCTTCCTCGAGGACAAGCTGAACAACTACTGCAGTTTTGAAAGAGATGTGGTTTTACTGTTAGTCAAATCAAGTGAACCAATCACAGAAGGAGCTTGCTTTCAAGTCATCCAATCAGTCTCAAGCAAATAACGGCCGGAAAATATGTATGAGGTTGTCGGGATTGGTTTTACATGCGGTGTAGCTTTGCTCCAGATTGGTTGAGAAATTAGCACGGGGTTTTTCATCGAGTCACTAAGTGTTGTGATGCAAAACTAAAGAAATTGTAAAATTGTTTTTAACGCACAATTAATAACTTCTTTAACCGTATCATTTCAACTGCAAATTACTATATAGGCCCAGAACAGCAGCCACCCTTCAAGGTTATGACAGCAGCTGACAGACTGGCCAAGTCGCTTAAGCCCTGCTGGTCTTTGTGTCCAGGTAAAGCTGCCAGGGAGGTGGAAGCTGCTTTGCGTCGCCAGCGCCGTCTAATCCGCTCACAGATGCTGAAACACCTGAGCGTTGGCAGTAAGGTGGTGCGTGGAATGGACTGGAAGTGGAAAGACCAGGACGGGAACCCCCCTGGTGAAGGACTGGTCACTGGGGAATTGCAGAATGGTAACGGTGATGACAAGCTTGATTACTTTTAGAAAGAACTGAGTAGTTTGTCCTTAAGGGAAGACTGGGTGAACTGAAACTTGATATTTGTTACTTGATGAAAGCCTTATAATAAAGATGAGGTGACAATGGCAAAAAACATGGACACTTCCATGAAGGAGACAATTTTCCGAGGTACCGGCTGGGCATGGGGATATGGGATGGACTACAAAATGGGAAGATCAAGATGGAAAATCATTCAGTTAACTTGAAAACTGCAGAATTGTAATTGGGAAAAATTTTACCAGTTCTATAGAAAGAGGATAATTGAAGGGTATTTTCTTTAAATCTCGATGGTATAGATGGAACGGTAAGTGAAATGATCACCACAGATACCCTTGATATTTTTATTATCATTTCTGGACAGGATGTGATCCAGGGCATCCTTTAGAATATGTTTATAAGTTGTGGTTGCGATTGAACGCTATATTTGATTTCATGTTTGACGTGTAATTTCTCACTGATTTGCTTAGGTTGGGTAGAAGTGGCGTGGGATAATGGAACCTCTAACTCGTATCGCATGGGAGCGGACGGCAAGTTTGACCTGAGAGTCGTGGAGAGTCGTCCTACGTCAGAAACATCAAGGGAACCTTTATCTTCTGTCTCTAGCGAAGAGGGACATTCTGACGAGGGGCCCTCAACTGAGGAGGCTAAATCGCCACCACCTGTAGCACCTCAACTCGACAGTTCCTCAACATCAAAAGATACAGAAGTTTCAAGCCAGGTTTTAGTAGAGCCGGTCAGCGTTGAGGATATACCAGACGAAGGAATATTTACTTCAGATGATATTTTTGACTCGCCTGGAATGGAAACGTCAGTGATAGTGTTAGAGGCATCAGGAGACGGTTCAGCGGCAGCGACAGCTATTGATGACATAAAAGAGACTGTTGGTGAAATTACTGAGGTTACGGATGAGGAGTGCATCACCAGTGAAACTGTGGACTCTACGACAACAGAAACCTCTAGCACCAACGATACTTCAGTTAATATTGCTTCGGAGGAATCCGCTGAGCGAAGGTAAGCTTTACTGAAGGCCCAGGGACGTAGTGCAGCATCGTGTGATTATTCAAACTGAAGTGAAAGTGACTGAGCTCAACTCTTTCAATATGTTTTAGTTGTTTTGTATTCATTAGTATTTATGTGGTAAATATTGACAGTTATCTTCATGTAAGTGTACCGAAGTTTTGTTTAATAGCAAACTTTCCTTGGGCTGGTCATATCAGCTTTTTTTTTCTTTCTTTCTCGTAAAGATTGATACAAGTGGATGAAATAAAAAAACTTGCTAGTTCCCTAAATAGCCAGTGGTCTCCTTTAGGCTCAGCTGGAACAAATTTGTTTACCAATGGCAATCTTTTTTGAATTGCACAGATCAGCCGCCAATGCAGCTAACAGTCCAACAAGCAGCCTTTGTCGAGCGTCTGACCTGGATATGTATGTGGCCATGAGAGGCTCTGGTCTTTTAACAGGACTGGAGGATGATTATGATCTGCCAGAACCTGACGATGATGACGATGACGACGATGATGATGATGACGATGACGATGAAAACGATGAAGACAATGAGGATGATTATGAGGTAAAAACAATGCGTGATCCTGGCGGTTTAACACGTGAAAAGGACGTAAATGCTGTAGGTTGTCAAGTGTGTATTGAGCATCCTCAGTGAAAGAATTAAAGGGCGTACCAACGTCGAGAGCCAAAAAGTTAATTCAGTAAGATTAAAGTTTATTATTACTCATTTCTCATTTCTGATTTCCGTTTCTGATTGGCTAAAAGCACACCCATAATTCACCATAACCAGCTACTGTTGACCAAATTTGGAAGAATTTTGCGATTAATCAACCGATGACGTCAAAAGTGCAGCACAGTTGCAGGTTAATTAATGCACCGTTAAACGCGAAGACCTGGTTGTCAGTTGTTTTATTGTCATTGGAAACAATATCCACAGGCTAAGAATGACAAGAGCTAGTACTACCGTGCAAAGGTAAAACCTCACTCGTTTTAAGCGAAGAAAGGTGGTAGTTATTTTTACTCTTTACCAAACATCGCTCTGTTATTGCTTGTCTCATTTATTGATGCCTTCATACTCAGGTTGAAGAGGAGCATGAGTCACGTGGAGGTCGTCGCCGCACGTGGGATGATGAGCACGTGCTCAAAAGGCAGTTTTCAGCGCTGGTTCCTGCCTTTGATCCCAGACCAGGGAGAACCAACATCGCACAAACACAAGATATTGTGATCCCTGCTCCTGGTGAGGGTTTACTGTTAACAATCTCCTCTCTCATCTTAACGTATACGTGGCTGTTTTGGTATTTGATATCGCGTTAATGTTTTAACCTTCTTCGTTTTTAATCGGTCATTTTGAGTCATCTATAATTGCCTAAAATTCAGTGTGCTAGCCTCCTTGCACTAAACCTCAGCTTTCAAGTCTTGAAAACTGTATACCCAGCGGCTGCTGTTGCACAAAACTGCATAAACACTATTTAGAAAGCAAATTTTATTTGAAATGGAAAACAGCGTTTTAGCAAGACCTACTTCTTTAGAACCAATAAAGGTTCATATTTTGTTTTCTTGTCAATAGGATCACCAGAAGGCATCTCATCAGAGGTAACGACAACCATTCAAGAACCACGTTTGAAATTGTCCCTGAAAGGACCAGCCTCGTTGATGGTACTTGTTTTATTTATTTTTGTCGTTTGAAGACTTTTGCTGCGTCACCGTTTCTCCTTTCCCACGTGACTGCCCCTGGGTTTCCGAGAATGTTTTTTTCTTGACAAGTTTAATGGCCATTTAAATGAAGTGAATTGTATTCTTCCACACAAGCAGTAACGGATCTTGGGTACTTCTTCTCACCCGGTTCCTGAAGGGCCGTTTGGCGCTAATCCAGGATTGAAATTTTGTTCCGTTTTTGTATTTTGCCTTCCCACCTATTGCTTAGAGTAACATTTTGTGTTATCATTACTGTATCTTGGAGTAAAGGCTCCACAGGATTTTGTAAGCTAAAGTTTGCATGTTCTTAGACAAAAAAAAACCTGGCTCCATATTTGGCTTAATCATTGGTTAAACGTAACCATCTTTCGAGGAACCCGGTTGGCCTGTATAACCCTTAGCTATTGAAGTCAGTTTTGGGGGTGTTGTTTGCATCGATTATCCGTTACTTCGTGAAGACCAGTGAGAAGCCTCGGTGCAAACCAAACTCTTTCATCATGTGCAGGGTGTTCTAATGTTTAAAGTGTGCGAAAGAGTCCTTGTAATTACGTGTGACCATTAGAGTGAAAGATCGATCAACACTTTCCTGTGTTACGGACGGTTCCTGTATAAACACAAACACAATTGATTAGTCCTCATGTCCTTTTGCACTAGGTGACACTTTCTGTTTCGTCTTTTCTACCAACTGAAAGCACATAATTACGTGCAGAACAATTTGGGATTTCTTGATTTTTGGATGTGAGTACTTTTGGCTTTGTAAGTGCAAACTGCTTCATAAGCAAATTTACTGTTTTTGTTGTCCTTTCTTTCTTCCTTTCAGCTTCCTGATGTGGAGATTAGCCTTGATGACCCGAAGGCTACCATTTTTTCGTATGTTCAAAAGGTGGTGCTGGCGGCTGGCTTAACCAAGAATGAAAGAGTGCGAAGGGTCTGGGAACCTACTTATACGTAAGTTTCGTTTAGACTATTGTTTTTAATACATTTATGTGAGTGGCCTTGAACCTAAACGTAACGTGCATTAATGACCTCTTGCAATGTTGTTTCAAGCCAATTCTCAACGTAAATGGAAGCATTAATGTTGCCAAGCGTAGGTCGGATGGGAGCCATTAGTGTTAGACATTAGCGTACACTTGTACTATTAAACGCTCTAGCAGTCATTTGAACAGTGTTACTCACTGCGGATGGGACCTTTTGTCTCCAATCAGTCCTTGTTAATCACTGGGCCTAAATTGCTGTGTATAAAAAAGGGGAATTCCACAATAGCGCCCGGAAGACAGTAGTCAGTGACTTTATGTAATTTCATTTTTCTGCCATTACAGGATAAGTTATCGAGAGGCTCACTCTTCCGATCCGGTTGAGAGTCCACGAGAAACCAAAGAAGACACCGAGACAACGGTAAGGTTTAACTCATTATCAAAGGTTTCTTTATAAAGAAACCAAGCGCCACTTTTGCTGTATGAGAAAGAAAAAAAACTTTTAATGTCAAAGACTTCCAACTTGCCCTTGTTTTGAAAAGGACTTTTCCAGCAACTCGAAAATGCTCTATCCTGATGAATAACTCTCACTCTTTACATCAGAAATGATGGTATAAATTTTGTCCCCTTATTTGATCATCAGGTACATTGGACGATATCTTATGTGGAGCGTTATCTCGGTACGGATGAGCTTCCCAAATCTGAGGTGATCTCTTTCCTTCAGAGGCATGCTGATGCTGCTTTTTTGAGAAAGTGGAAGCTTACAGGAGTACCTAAGAGCATACGAAAGAACAGAAACTGTTCACAGCTTGTGGCAGCCTATAAGGTAGGTCGAGTCTTACACGGGTGGCTGGCTGGCTGGCTCGTACTATATTTTGTAGCTGTTGGGTTGAAGTAGCCGATGTATGGAGGTGGCCTTGAGTGGAAACTCACCCATTTGTGTTTCCTTTTAAGTCTTGTGGATGAAACCGTATGGCGTGTTCATTCATACGAAACCTCTTCCGATAGGGTTTCATCTATTACCATTTAAATGTGCTTTATTAGTTCCAAAATGAAGTTTGGGGGTTGAACCGCCCTTTCAGTCATTCCTCTTCAATACCGTGAGAGAAAACATGTTTATTTTAGCTGGCGCTCACTAATCCAGTTAACTATGTCTGGCGAAGAATCTTTAAAAAAGAATAAAGCCATATAGGGTGTGTTTAACGAAAGTTTTTAAAACGTCGTCAAAGTGAAAGTCTTGCAACACTGAAATAACGACTTGCCGTATCCTACCCTACAGGAATTTTGCAATACCATGGACTCGTCCCCGCCCCCCACATTTTCGGCTCCGATTGAGAAGCCGGAAGTTAAGCAAGAGGTGAAACAGGACACGGCAAAGAAACCCGACAAGAGTATTACTGACTCTTTTGCTACCGATGTTACTGGAATATCCGCTGTTGAGGACATACTTCAGCTTCTTAAGGTCCTCTACTGTTTATCCACTAACTCAGCGTACGACTTTGGAGAGGGAGGTATGTGTTGAAATAATCCCTGCCGAATTATTGGGTTAACATGTCTTTTCAGCATATTGCCATAGCAAGCGCTAAAACGGTTTCTGGTTGAGATGCCTGGGCGAAATTAGGAGGCAAAAATCGTGAAAATTATCAGGCCTTTCAGTAGCGATAGTCTTAATGCAGTCACACTCAAAGTTTACCTCTAGGCTCTTTCGTTGTTCAGTGATGTGTGATTTACCAGATTACCATCCTTTGTTGAATTTTCAAACACATCTTGTGTCTCCTTGTTATGTAGGTAATGACGAATATGGATTTATCGTGGACAATGACGATTTTACAAGCAAGAAGTTGACAACCAAACTGTTGCAACAAATTCAGGTAGGACGTAAAACCTAGGATATTAGCTTGGAAAATAGTAACTGACGTGATGAAGAACTATAAAGGACTGAGCATAAGCTTTTATGTGAAGAAGACTGACTCACAGCAACTTTAGCTGGTACATTCAAATGTGTTCACAAATAGAAACGACCTCTCTTTAGCAGTCAGTCTCTTTCTTTTAAAGCAGTTTGTCAGTATTTACTTGCAGGGTTGATAGAATGTCATTTATTTATTTTTTACTTTCAGGATCCGTTAGTGTTGGCTAGCAATGCACTGCCATCTTGGAGTGAGCTGCTGACCAGCAAGTATCCCTTCCTGTTTCCTTTTGAGACGAGGCAGCTGTTTTTTTCATGCACAGCTTTTGGTAGCTCAAGGTAAGACTGACATGCGTGACTTTCGATCGAGTCAATCCACAAGGGTCTTATACATTTTGTTGTAACGATCCATGTGCCGGAAACACTGCGTGGAAAGTTTGCTTTATCTAATATTGCAATGATGACAGTGGATAGAAATTTCTTCCTCAGAAATGTTCATGAAACTGTGTTCTCGGAGGTGTCAGTTAGAGCGGTTTTTTCAGAGTTTGACTGTTGTTTTTGTGGCGTCCCGGCATTGAATCATCCTCTTGGGCCTAGAAAAATCGCGATAATAATCATTTATCCTGTGCTAGCTGCTTGGAACGAGTGCGACTTAAATCTGTAGATAATAAACACAGACACAAGACCAAAGTGAGAAAATTTTTCTTAAAAACATATTAACGGACATGGTACTTTGTCTCTCTAGAGCGATCGTATGGTTGCAAAACAAGCGTGATGTAGCTCTCGACAGAAGTCGTCCCCCGAGTCATCGCCGAGAGGATCAACATGAGTTTAGGGTGGGGCGACTGAAGCACGAGAGAGTCAAGGTACCGCGAGGAGATGAGGTTAGTACTGACCGGGACTGATCAGGGTGGGGTTAGGTGGGGTTAGGGTTAGACCAGGGTTAGGTTATGTGGGGTCCCATTTTTATATGAAGATTGGTCTGTCGTAACAGAATGCGTTCGTACTTGATTAAATAAAGTGCATGTTCGTTTTTCCGACATGAGAGGTACTAAGTCGTCATATTTTTATCTTGTAGTTGCTGGATTGGGCGATGAACGTTCTTAAGTACCACGCTGAACGCAAATCTGTTCTGGAGGTAAGTGAGTCGATTAGTGAAGGAAAATGGCTAAATAGAATACATCAAGACAAATCACCTGCAAGAGAATAATTGGAAGCAGTACATAATATCAAAAGGTGGTTGGTAAATGACACCGCACTCTCCTTGTTTAGGTGGAATTTGAAGACGAGGAAGGCACCGGCCTAGGGCCGTCATTGGAGTTTTATGCCCTTGTGGCTGCCGAGCTTCAACGCAAGAGCCTGGGCATGTGGATTTGTGATGACGTCATGGTGGATGAAACTGCCAGAGAGGTTTGTGAAATTGATTGATTGTGTTTTATGTAGTAAAAAGCGTAAAAGAGGTCCTTTCAACTAGGCTATTTCAGAGTTGCCCCAATCCTCTGTTTCAAAGCGAGGCTAAGTGTGAAGGTATTGAAAAGGAAATGACTTTTTGTTCTCATCAAATAAACCTCATTTTCACGTGAAAGGTTTTACACTTAGCCTCGTTTTGAAAGCGAAAAGATTTGAAACTCGGAAATGGCCTGTTGTCAGGCTAGTTTTTTATGGTGAAATTTTGACTTAAATAAGAGTTGTGTTGTATGGACTACGAATTAACCTAAACTACCAGTTATTCGTGGTCATTGCAGGTTGATATTGGTCATGGCATTCGCCCAAGAGGTTATTACGTGCAACGCGCAGGAGGCCTCTTTCCTGCGCCCCTGCCTCAGGATGCGCCTGACACGGAGAGGGTCGCAAAGCTCTTCTACATCCTGGGTATCTTCCTTGCTAAAAGTTTACAAGACAGTCGACTAGTGGACATTCCTTTATCACTGTCATTTCTAAAGCTTTTGTGTTGGAGTCCTTCGTCTTTAATCAGTAACAGCTCTGCAATTCACAATCGCGGCTCGGTTCTTAAAGTAATCGACGATGCTTCATGCCCCCTCGAAGATTTTGTCGAGAGCTCGGACACAACGAACGAGCTCGATCAACCTCAACCGAGCTTGGAGGAGAACGAAAATACCATTAACAAAATGGACTGGGAATTCAGCAAAGAAAGAGAACTTATTGAAGAAAAGGAAGAACTCTCCAAGGAGGAAAATTCTGAACTGAGTAAAACTAAAGAGAGCGTCGAGGAAATACCTACAACGTCTTCAACACCATGTTGGTTTGCGGGAATTTTGGACGATAGTGATATGGTCACGGTTGATCCTCACAGAGCTACTTTTATAAAACAACTCCAAGAATTGATAGCTAGGAAAAACGACATTCTTACGGACGATTTGCTGTCCGCAAACGAGATGAAAGCCAGAATATCAGAGCTCAAGCTTAAAACAACTCATGGTGGTGAATGTAGTGTTGACGACTTAGGGTAAGTGGTAGTTTTAGTGCTGGTTTGTTTGTTGATTCTCCAAAATGTAGTACAGTCGTCCTAACTTCTAGGGCCTCTTAGGTGGTCCTTTGGCATACTACCTTCCTATTATCATACAAAATTCCACAACAACAAGTTTATTTTTCTTCTGTATACAGACAACTAAAAGGAATTTTGTTAAATTTTGAGTTAAAGCAAAAGGTAAAGGGAGAAAACCTTTTACCGAAAAGACATTTGAATATTTCATTCATTTTGATCAGTTCAGGATGGAAAAATGGCCAATTTTTGAGAAAAACCATGTGTTAACGCCTTTGCAAAAATGTCAATTTTTCGATTTTTTGAACTTGTTGTTTTTATAGCCAAGAAAGGCATTTTTTCGTTCTAGAATATCGCAAAACACATTTTCCTGGCCTATATTGGCTAGAAAAAAAAAGATGGAAAAATGGCCAATTTTTGAGCAAAACCATGGGTTAACCCCTTTGGAAAGATGTCAATTTTTCGACTTTTTAAACTTCTTGTTTTTATAGCCTAGAAAGGCGTTTTTTCGTTCTAGAATATCGTAAAACACATTTTCCTGGCCTATATTGCCTATAAAAATAAAGAAGGAAAAATGGCCAATTTTTGACCAAAACCGTGGGTTAACCCCTTTGGAAAAATGTCAATTTTTCGACTTTTTGAACTTCTTGTTTTTATAGCATAGAAAGGTGTTTTTTCGTTCTAGAATATCGTAAAACACATTTTCCTGGCCTATATTGTCCAAAAAAAAAAAAAGACGGAAAAATGGCCAATTTTTGACCAAAACCATGGGTTAACCCCTTTGGAAAAATGTCAATTTTTCGACTTTTTGAACTTGTTGTTTTTTCGTTCTAGAATATCATAAAACACATTTTCCTCGCCTATATTGCCTAAAAAAAAAAGATGGAAAAATGGCCAATTTTGAGCAAAACCATGGGTTAACCCCTTTGGCAAAATGTCAATTTTTCTACTTTTTGAACTTCTTGTTTTTATAGCATAGAAAGGTGTTTTTTCGTTCTAGAATATCGTAAAACACATTTTCCTGGCCTATATTGTCTAAAAAAAAAAAGATGGAAAAATGGCCATTTTTGGACCAAAACCCCTTTTCTTGAAGATGTATCATCATCATCATCATCATCATCATCGATGTTAGACCCCTTATTACTTTGTTATTACTGGTATTTGTAGTCATGAATAGTAATGATTGTTATAGATGATTATGTTATTTTCAGGTTAACGTTTCAGTTTACTCCATCGTCCAAGGTGTATGGCTTTAGTGAAGTAGACCTGACTCCCAATGGCGGAGACAAGGTACTCATTGAAACTCTTTATAAATTTGATCCCAGTTACTTCGTTTAAAAATGAGTGTTATTTATAAATAGACCGTTGGCTTTCAACCTATATATTTCTGCCCATTACCATACGTTTGAGATCTTAGTGTTGGTGTACGTATTTAGAATAATTCGTTTTTTCGTTCGTTTCTAACAGATGTTGACTGTAGAGAATGCAGAGGAGTATATCAAGTTAGTCAAGGAATTCTGTTTGTACACTGGTATTCAACGGCAGGTGGATGCATTCAAAGGTAATGAATTTTATAGAAGCTCAATCGAAGCTGTAACTCTACTTGATTGTTAATTCAAACCTTGAGACTGCGTGCGAGTACAAGATAGGTGTGGCCTTCTCCTTTTTCAGAAAGAAGGTGCGGCCACACCTAGGCTAGATTGATTTCGTGTATGAAATATTAAAAAATATTTTAAGCCAGTTCTGTCAGCAGTACTCTCACTTAATCCTGTGACCATCAGCAACTGATCCATTCATTTGGGTACTCGGCAGTTGCACCATACGTCGGGAACGAGGCCAGGCTCACCTCAGGCCGTGACTCTCAAGCGCATGCTCTCTGCTTTACTTTAGAGGTTAGACTATGTAGACGTGTAATAGCCTGGACTTAGTCCTCTAACATTTCACCTACTTTGCAGACGGATTTCACGCCGTTTTTCCGATGGAGAAGCTGACTCCATTTACACCAGAGGAGCTACAGTTGATGCTGAGCGGAGAGCAAGTTCCGCAATGGAGTAGAGAGGACATAATCAGCTACACAGAGCCTAAGTTTGGCTACACACGAGAGGCCCCGGGCTTCCAAAGATTTGTTAACGTGCTGATGAACATGAACGGCGATGAGAGGAAGGTATGAAAGCAAAACTCACTTCCTTTCCTTTCTCATTCAAATACTGTAATTTTTCTCTTCCCCCCCCCATCCCCCCGATTGTACGAACGTAAAATACTCCGAACCAACTCTCTTCTCTGCGGGAGGTTAGGGATTCAACTGTACTAACATTTTCTACAACTAAGGAACAGTGGGAGGAGTAGGTGGCGCAGTGAAGCCGGTGGGGGTACGGTTATAGAAACGGAACTCTGCACAATGCAACCCCCTCCGCCGCCGCCCTCCTGGGGAAAGAAATTATGGGTTCTTGTACAGCGGTGGTAGATGTTGTAACATCACCACTGATCTGAGGGAAATGGTTCGAAAACTCGGGGTAAAACAAAGTGAGGAAGCACGAAGGAAGGTTCTACGGCGAAGCTTTCATTTCAGTGTTTTCACTCGATAAAAAAAAACAGACGAGTAATGAAAAAGCAACTCAGGAAAATAACTCACGTTAGCGTTTACTGATATTACTGTGGGATACCTTGCTGTTGGCTCCCTACCAATGATGCCTCGTGCTCGCCTCCTGCCAGCCACTTACTGAGTCTCGTTCGATCGTTATGAAATCGTAAGGCTGATAATAGCGCAATAAAATATATAGCTTGATAGCTTTTATTTCACTGGTCTCACTGTGCAATTTTCACCACACAAACGAAAGTTATAAGCACGTTTTTTACGTACTCATAACTCTTTCAGTGACTCATCTATTATCTAATATTATTATTCATTCAAAATATTTCCCTGATTCTGATTGGCTTAAAGCACACGTTTAATTCACCATAACCAGTTACTGATGACCAAATTTTGAAGAAATCTGACTTTAACGAGGAAATGACGTCAAAAATGCAGCGTTTTCGCACGTTAAGGCACCGTTGACCGCGAAGACCTGGGGACGAGGTTGAGTTGTTTTGGTTGTGAACTTGAAAAAATGGCGGACATTTCACTCGTTTCAAGAGTAAGAACTAGGCGAAAAAATAGCTAAAAACATGGCAAGAACAGCAAGAAGACATCTCGAAGGGCGACATCTGCTGTTTGGAGAATATTTGCGGAGCTGGACAAACCTAAACGTACACTATCGAAGATGAACAGAACATCGATGGATCGATGGAGGTAAGCATGTTTAAGCTATGTTTTTAAACTAGGTATACCTATCGATAGAGTGTGAACGAGCAAATCATGCGTATTTTGCTTAGGAATAAAATTTCTGTTTTGTTCCCATTTGACCGTTTCTTGGTCCCTTCCTGTTGCAAGGATTATTTTCTTGAAAAGTTCTCAGATTCAGTGGCTTTACAAACCTGCTATGTAAAAGTGTGAAGTGCCTTGAAAGAATAAAGTCGGCTTTGCAGAGGAAGCGATCGGGAATATTATTAAGTCCAGCTACAAATCTACTGTCGGTTCGGTTTCACATTGTTGATAAATATTTGCACAGTTAAATCATTTAAACCTCCTTTCCAATTTCCCGAGGCTTTTTGTTATCGAATTGAAACTTAGAATGATTCGCTGGGCCATCTGAAATGTTTCCAAGGACATGCGATGTACGGCACGTCGGTATTTAATTTTAGTTCGTTATTTTTATACTGAACTCGGCCACGTTTCGAAAAAAATGGCGTTGTTTTCTTTTCCTTTGTCGTTCGCTTTCGGCTTGTAATTCGTTTTTGTTCTCATTGTTTTTGTTTGCTGGTTAGATTTTTTCCCCAACACCAGATTTTCCAACGAAGCGACTGCATTCTTCGTGTCAAGCTTTCCTTAATAAACACAGGAAGTCACGACGGCGGGAAGTGTGTGAAATTTTGTTTGTTATTCAACTTGAGCCCGTGCGCCTGGTACTGCCTTTTGATTGGTTGACAACTGACCACTTGGTCTCAGGGGAATCTACATTACATTAGGTTACACTTTTTTCATCTCGATCGAGAATTTTTCTGCATATTGCCCAGTCTTGCGCGGCTCTATTCTGCTGCCGCCTCGCCATCCGAGCGTCTTCGCTCGGATGGCTCGTTGGCAACTAGGGATTATTTTGAATGAATAAAAAAACAGTTATTGAGTTCGGCTTTCGTATCATATGAAGAGTTATGGAGATCAAGGAGGGTGTTATCCGCCTCGGCCGACCCTCCTCGATCTCCATAATTGTTCATAAGATACTTACCCTCATTCATTAACTGTTAAATAATTTATGTATCATTCTTGTGGCAGGCGTTCCTTCAGTTTACCACCGGCTGTTCCTCACTGCCACCTGGCGGTCTTGCTAACCTTCATCCACGCCTGACTGTAGTGCGTAAGGAGAGCGAGGGTGATGGATCATTCCCATCTGTTAACACCTGCGTACATTACCTCAAGCTACCTGAGTACTCTTCAGAGGAAGTGATGCGAGAGAAATTGCTTGCGGCTACTAAAGAGAAAGGATTCCATCTGAATTAGAACATCGTGTCTCTTCTTGCTGACATAACTTTAAAGACTAGTTCAAACAAGAACAACGTTTCACTTAAAGAATCCAGTCTAGCTGCCTATAAAAGTATGATAGCAAAGTTGATGTCGAATCTAAAGTAGATTGGATAAAACGTACTGGAGCGAGACTTTAAAACGGTGTGGTTGAATTCCTCAAAGTTATATGTACATGAAAGCACAAACAGTACAAGCTCAAGAGCGTCGTAGTGTCAACACCGCCAATACTTGAGTTTTCTGTGTACTCGCATCAACTTTTCTGTGTTATCGTTCGTCCCTGTTTAAACTTTGTTGCAAACCTTGATCTGGTGCAAGGACCTTCCTCAATCCTTGCTTTTGTCTTTTTTCCGTTGTAATCTTACAGCTGAAGAGTTGGAAAAACAAAGTTTCGCCGTAGTTTTAAAACAAGAAAGATAGGCTGTTCATACATTTCATACCCTTGAGCTGTACTGAACAGAGCCACACTTCTAACGCCTTACCGTTGCTTTATTTTAGTTTGTAATCCCTCCTCCTTTCGCACTTATATTGATGGACTACGCTGCGTTTAGCGTACCTCTCACATCTTTCGCTGTCAGGATGACTGACTTGAGAGGCGACATAGCTCAAACAAGTTTTCATTACTCAGAGTTGGATGCAGAGCGTTACATTTAGTAAATGTGTAAACACAGTAAAATCGCTTGTCTTTTGTTTAAATGGAACTTATGGTAGGTAAGGTCTAGTTAGGTTTCATATTAAGTCGTATTAAATAATACAAAATACCATTATTACGAGGGACTGAGTGTGCTTTTGTTGGTTTAACTTGTCTTCATCTTGAGATGCTAAAGTCCGTTGTACATATTGGAGTCGGATTCGTGTGTCCCTGCTGTCTCCATTCGCCCTTTTAAGTAGTCGGCTCGGCCTCTGGGTCTTTCCTGTACTCAAGGAATCTCGTATATAAAACAGCGTAATATAAGGCTTTACCCCGCCGTATTTTATTACGCTGGAATTTACACTTACAACCTTATTAGTGAGGTCAACAAACAAGATGCAAGAAACGCTTCGACAATACCTTCCCTACAGATAAATATTTGTCCGTAAATTATTCTTCTCAACTTACAATGCCATGGTGGTTCTCTTGCAACCCACACAATCTGAAACTAAGTGTAAACATTATGTACTTTAGAGTATATTGCTCAACTACCCACAAGGTCAGGACCAGGTTCTGGTGTCCACTAGAAGAGGTCCCGGACCGTATACACAAAACAAGCTTGCCTCATCACACTATCATTTCCAACTTCGTCAAACATCTTTTCGTGACTAGTTAAGACCCCCCCAAAAATAAGCTAACAAAAAAAAACACATACGGAAAATTTCAATTTTTGACTCCATGGCATAAACTTGCCCCTTAGACAAAATTGGATATGGCCACCACCCAAAATCAAAATAATTATAAAAGGTCTCTTGAACCCTGTCTTGGTTAATTTAAACAAAAAAACAATCGAAGAGGAAATTTCAAATTTTGTCCTAAAATCATGGGTTAACCTTTTGGAAAAAGAATCAAATATGGTTACCCCCCAAAATCGAACTCTTCTTAAGGTTACTTACCGCCCTTTTAACAGATAAAAACATCGTCAAATTAGACAATTTGACAACAAAAACAATAGAGAAAAACCTTGACATTTTAACCTAGAATCATGGGTTAACCCCTTTGGAAGAATCCAATATGGCCACCCCCAAAATTGAACGTGTCAAAAACGGGTCTTTCCGGCAATTTTTGCACTCTTTAACTTCGTGAAACATCTTTTTCGACTCTATATCGACAAAAACACAATTAAAAGGAGACTTTCCAATTATGCCCCGAAATCCTGAGTTAACCCCTTTGGAAGAATCCAATATGGCCACACCCAAAATCGACCGTTTTAAAAAGTGCCTTTTCGACATTTTTAGCGCTTTTTAATATCGCAAAAAAATTTTCTATACTCGATCTGGAAAAAAAACCGATCAATAAAAGACTTTACAATTTTGCCCAAAAATCATGGGTTAACCCCTTTGGAAAAATCCAATATAGCCACTCCCAAAACTTGATTGAACTTGTCAAAAACGCGTCTTTCCGGCAATTTTTCCACTCTTTAACTTCGTAAAACATCTTTTTCGACTCCATTTCCTACAAAAACGTTTTCTCGTTCAAGAATATCGTAAAAAACATTTTCCTGGCCTAAATAGCCTTAAAAAAATAAATTAACAAAATTGCCAATTTTTGACCAAAACCATGGGCTAACCACTTTGGAAAAATGTCAATTTTTCTACTGTTTGAACTTCTTGTTTTTATATTCTAAAAAAGCGTTTTTTCGTTCTAAAATATCGTAAAACACATTTAGTGGCCTATATTGCCAAAAAAAAGATGGAAAAATGGCCAGTTATTAACCAAAACTATAGGTTAACCCCCTTGGAAAATCGTCAATTTTTCGACTTTTTCAACTACTTGTTTTTAAAACCTAGAAAGGCATTTTTTCGTTTAAGAATATAGTAAGACACATTTTCCTGGCCTATATTACCTAAAAAAAAACATGGAAAAATGGCCAATTTTTGACCAAAATCATGCGTTAACCTCTTTAGCAAAATGTAAATTTTTCGACTTCTTGTATTTCTTCTATTCATAGCCTAGAAAGGCGTTTTTTCGTTCAAGAATATAGTAAAACACATTTTCCTGGCCTATTTTCCCTAAAAAAAAAAGATGGAAAAATGGACAATTTTTGACAAAAACCATGGGTTAACCCCTTTGGAAAAATGTCAATTATTCGACTTTTTGAACTTCTTGTTTTTATAGCCTAGAAAGCAGTTTTTTCAGTCTAAAATATAGTAAACACATTTTCCTGGCCTATATTGCCCTAAAAAAAAAAGATGGAAAAATCGCAAATTCTGGACCAAAACGATGGGTTAACCCCTTTGCAAAAATGTCAATTCTTCGACTTTTTGAACTTCTTGTTTTTATTGCCTAGAAAGGCGTTTTTGCGCTCTAGAATAGAGAAAAACACATTTCTGTGGCCTATATTGCCTTAAAAAAAGTTGGAAAAATGGTCACTTTTTGACCAAAACCATAAGTCAACAGCTTTGCAAAAATGTCTATTTTTCGACTTTTTGAACTTCTTGTTTTTATGACCTAGAAAGGCGTTTTTTCGTTCAAGAATATAGTAACACACATTTTCCTGGCCTATATTGCCTTAAAAAAAAAGATGGAAAAATGGCCAATTTTTGACCTAAACCACGGCTTAGCCCCTTTGGAAAAATGTCAATTTTTCGACTTTTTGAACTTCTTTTTTTTATAGAGTAGAGAGGCGATTTTTCGTTCTAAAATATAGTAAAACATATTTTCATGACTTATATTGCCAAAAACAAAATATGGAAAAATGGCCAATTTTAGACCAAAACCATGGGTTAACCTTTTTGGAAAAATGTCAATTTTTCGACTGTTTCAACTTCTTGTTTTTATAGCCTAGAAAGAAGTTTTTTCGTTCTAGAATATCATAAAACACATTTTCCAGGCCTATATTGTTTTAAAAAAAAAAGATGGAACAATGACCAATTTTTGAGCAAAACCATGGGTTGACCCCTTTGGAAAAATGTCAATTTTTCGACTTTTTCTACTTCTTGTTTTTATTGCCTAGAAAAGAATTCTTCGTTCTAGAATATCCTAAAACACATAAAACATATTTCCCTGACCTATATTGCCTAAAAAAAAATATCGAAAAATGGCAAAGTTTTGACCAAAACCATGAGTTAACCCCTTTGGAAAAACGTTTATTTTTCGACTTTTTGAACTTCTTGTTTTTATCGCCTAGAAAGCGGTTTTTTTGTTCTAGGCTATCGTAAAACACATTTTCATGGTCTATATTGCCTAAAAAAAAAGATAGAAAAATGGCAAATTTTTAACCAAAACCATAGGTTAACCCCTTTGGAAACATGTCAATTTCTCGAGTTTTTCAATTTCTTGTTTTTATTGCCTAGAAAAACGTATTTTCGTTCTAGAATATCATAAAACACATTAACCTGGCCTATATTGTCTAAAAACAAAAAAGTTGGAAAAATGGCCAATGTTTGAGCAAAACCACGGGTTAACCCCTTTGGAAAAATGTCAATTTTTCGACTTTTTCTACTTCTTGTTTTTATTGCCAAGAAATGCGTTTCTTCGTTCTAAAATATCATAAAACTCATTTTCCTGGCCTATATTGTTTAAAAAAAAAAAGATGTAAAAATGACCAATTTTTGAGCAAAACCATGGGTTAACCCCTTTGGAAAAATGTCAATTTTTCGACTTTTTGTACTTCTTATTTTTATTGCCTAAAAACGCGTTTTTTCGTTCTAGAATATCATAAAACACATTTTTCTGGCCTATATTGTTTAAAAAAAAAAAGATGTAAAAATGACCAATTTTTGAGCAAAACCATGGGTTAACCCCTTTGGAAAAATGTCAATTTTTTGACTTTTTGAACTTCTTGTTTTTATTGCCTAGAAATGCGTTTTTTCGTTCTAAAGTATCATAAAACAAATTTTCCTGGCCTATATTGTTTAAAAAAAAAAAAAACATGGAAAAATGACCAATTTTTGAGCAAAACCATGGGTTAACCCCTTTGGAAAAATGTCAATTTTTCGACTTTTTGTACTTCTTGTTTTTATTGCCAAGAAAAGGGTTTTTTCGTTCTACAATATCCTAAAACACATTTTCCTGGGCGATATTGCCTAAAAAAAAAGATGGCAGAACGACCAATTTTTAAGCAAAATCATGTCTTGACCCCTTTGGAAAAATTTCAATTTTTCGACTTTTTGTACTTCTTGTTTTTATTGCCTAGAAATGCGTTTTTTCGTTCTAAAATATCATTAAACTCATTTTCATGGCCTATATTGTTTAAAAAAAAAATGGAAAAATGACCAATTTTTGAGCAAAACCATGGGTTAACCCTTTGGAAAAATGTCACTTTTCGACTTTTTGTACTTCTTGTTTTTATTGCCTAGAAATGCGCTTTTTCGTTCTCAAATATCATAAAACACATTTTCCTGGCCTATATTGTTTTAAAAAAAAAAGATGGAAAAATTGCCAATTTTTGGACAAAACCATGGGTTAACCCCTTTGGAAAAATGTCAATTTTTCGACTTTTTGTACTTCTTGTTTTTATTGCCTAATAATGAGTCTTTTCGTTCTAGAATATCATAAAACACATTTTCCTGGCCTATATTGCCTAAAAAAAAAGATAAAAAAGTGGCCAATTTTTGAGCAAAACCATGGGTTAACCCCTTTGGAAAAATGTCAATTTTTCCACTTTTTGAACTTCTTGTTTTTATTGCCTAGAAATACGTTTTTTCGTTCTAGAATATCATAAAACACATTTTCGTGGCCTATATTGCCTAAAAAAAAGATGGAAAAATGGCCAATTTTAGAGCAATACAATGGGTGAACCCCTTTGGAAAAACTGGCAATTTTTCGACTTTTTGAACTTCTTGTTTTTTTTGCCTAGAAATGCATTTTTTTGTTGCAATATATCATAAAACACATTTTCCTGGCCTATATTGCCTAAAAAAGAAAAGATGGAAAAATGGCCAATTTTTGAGCAAAACCATGGGCTAACCCCTTTGGAAAAATGTCAATTATTCGACTTTTTGAACTTCTTGTTTTTATTACCTAGAAATGCGTTTTTTCATTCTAGAATATCATAAAACACATTTTCCTGGCCTATATTGTTTAAAAAAAAAATGGAACAATGACCAATTTTTGAGCAAAACCATGGGTTAACCCCTTTGCAAAAATGTCAATTTTTCGACTTTATGAACCTGCTTTTTTTATTGCCTAGAAATGCGTTTTTTCGTTCTAGAATATCATAAGACACATTTTCCTCGCCTATATTGCCTAAAAAAGAAAAGATGGAAAAATGGCCAATTTTTGAGCAAAACCATGGGTTAACCCCTTTGGAAAAATGTCAATTTTTTGACTTTTTCAACTTCTTGTTTTTATTGCCTAGAAATGCGTTTTTTCGTTCTAAAGTATCATAAAACAAATTTTCCTGGCCTATATTGTTTAGAAAAAAAAAAAGATGGGAAAATGACCAATTTTTGAGCAAAACCATGGGTTAACCCCTTTGGAAAAATGTCAATTTTTCGACTCTTTGTACTTCTTGTTTTTATTGCCTAGAAAAGGGTTTTTTCGTTCTACAATATCCTAAAACACATTTTTCTGGGCGATATTGCCTAAAAAAAAAGTTGGCAGACTGACCAATTTTTAAGCAAAATCATGTCTTGACCCCTTTGGAAAAATTTCAATTTTTCGACTTTTTGTACTTCTTGTTTTTATTGCCTAGAAATGCGTTTTTTCGTTCTAAAATATAATAAAACTCATTTTCCTGGTGTATATTGTTTAGAAAAAAAAAAAAAAAACTGACCAATTTTTGAGCAAAACCATGGGTTAACCCCTTTGGAAAAATGTCACTTTTCGACTTTTTGTACTTCTTGTTTTTATTGCCTAGAAATGCGCTTTATCGTTCCAAAATATCATAAAACACATTTTCCTTGCCTATATTGTTTAAAAAAAAAAAGATCGAAAAATTGCCGATTTTTGGACAAAACCATGGGTTAACCCCTTTGGAAAAATGTCAATTTTTCCACTTTTTGAACTTCTTGTTTTTATTGCACAGAAATACGTTTTTTCGTTCTAGAATATCATAAAACACATTTTCGTGGCCTATATTGCCTAAAAAAAAGATGGAAAAATGGCCAATTTTAGAGGAAAACAATGCGTGAACCCCTTTGGAAAAAATGGCAATTTTTCGACTTTTTGAACTTCTTGTTTTTTTTGCCTAGAAATGCGTTTTTTTGTTCCAATATATCATAAAACACATTTTCCTGGCCTATATTGCCTAAAAAAGAAAAGATGGAAAAAAGGCCAATTTTTGAGCAAAACCATGGGTTAACCCCTTTGGAACAATGTCAATTTTTCGGCTTTTTGTACTTCTCTTTTTTATTGCCTAGAAAGGCGTTTTTTCGTTCTAGAATATCATAAAACACATTTTCCTGGCCTATATTGCCTAAAAAAAAAAGATGGAAAAATGGCCAATTTTTGAGCAAAACCATGGGTTAACCCCTTTGGAAAAATGTCAATTATTCGACTTTTTGAACTTCTTGTTTTTATTACCTAGAAATGCGTTTTTTCATTCTAGAATATCATAAAACACATTTCCCTGGCCTATATTGTTCAAAAAAAAAATGGAACAATGACCAATTTTTGAGCAAAACCATGGGTTAACCCCTTTGCAAAAATGTCAATTTTTCGACTTTTTGAACCTGCTTTTTTTATTGCCTAGAAATGCGTTTTTTCGTTCTAGAATATCATAAAACACATTTTCCTGGCCTATATTGCCTAAAAAAGAAAAGATGGAAAAATGGCCAATTTTTGAGCAAAACCATGCGTTAACCCCTTTGGAAAAATGTCAAATTTTCGACTTTTTGAACTTCTTGTTTTTATTGCCTAGAAATGCGTTTTTTCGTTTTACAATATCATAAAACACATTTTCCTGGCCTATATTGTTAAAAAAAAGAAAATGGAAAAATGACCAATTTTTGAGCAAAACCATGGGTTAACCCCTTTGGAAAATGTCAATTTTTCGACTTTTTGTACTCCTTGTTTTTATTGCCTAAAAATACGTTTTATCGTTTTTGAATATCATAAAACATATTTTCCTGGCCTATATTGTTTAAAAAACAAAGATGGAAAAATGACCAATTTTTGAGCAAAACCATGGGTTAACCCCTTTGCAAAAATGTCAATTTTTCGACTTTTTGAACTTCTTGTTTTTATTGCCTAGAAATGCGTTTTTTCGCTTTAGAATATCATAAAACACATTTTCCTGGCCTATATTGTTAAAAAAAAAGATGGAAAAATGACCAATTATTGAGCAAAACCATGGGTTAACCCCTTTGCAAAAATGTCAATTTTTCGACTTTTTGAACTTCTTGTTTTTATTGCCTAGAAAAGCGTTTTTTCCCTTTAGAATATCATAAAACACATTTTCCTTTGCCTATATTGTTAAAAAAAAGAAAATTGAAAAATGACCAATTTTTTGAGCAAAACCATGGGTTAACCCCTTTGCAAAAATCTCAATTTTTCGACTTTTTGTACTTCTTGTTTTTATTGCCTAGAAATGCGTTTTTTCGTTTTAGAATATCATAAAACACATTT